CGGCCGCGCCGTCTCGGCCCGTGGAGTGGCGGCGGCACTTTGAGGAGTCTGAACGGACCCGCGTGTAATCTGCTCTGAAAACCATTTGTATAGTGTGTTTCATTTTTTAATGTGTGAAAATAAAGAAAATTAAAGGATTTCTGTAAAAGTTGCATTTGGTTTTGTTTTCAGTTTTACTAATTTCTACATGTAAATAAAATGTGATTAGCAGACGTATACTCCCAGCGTCTTCCTGTAGTCGAACAGGCTGCATTCTTTAGATCTTCCAGTTTTGAGCACCCTTGTAATTGTCTTTCAAACATGGATGCTCATTTCTGTGGGTCCCTCCAGGGACGTGCATGTGGCTCGAGATTCCGTGGCGCGTTGCTTCCATCTGCCACCTGTAAGGACAAACAGGTTGATCCTCTGACCCCTGACCTGAGAAACCGGTGGGGAAACTGAGAAGAGGGAACTTGTCCCAGTGAGTCGAGGAGCTGGGAGTGACGTGGGTCGCTGGCTCCAGGCCAGTCTGGGGCCACCAAGCCAGTATCCTGGAGCTGTGATGGGGCCCAGTGGCTCATTCCAGTTCTAACCACTTGTTAGAATACAAGAAGCTACAGTTCAGCGTGAACTCAGGCAGCTCCTGGGACAACTCCCAGCACGGGGGCCCGAGTCCCCTCCGTCCCTGACCGAGGAGCCCGGCAGCAGAATCAGAGACCGGCCTGCAGCTGTGGCTCTTCAGGCACCTGCTGGTAAGTTGGCATGTTCTCCACCGGGTGCCCCAGAGGAGACCGGCTCCCAGCACTGGGGCCTGGGTTCCAGCCTGCACGCCCCCATAACTCTTTGTTCTTTGTCCAGTTGCTGCCACAGTTGACTCCACGTCACTTCCTGACTGGGGGACAGAAAAGATGGAAGGTGGTAGCAAGACCTCCCGGACGGGCTCGGCTCTGAGGTTTGTCTTCCTCCTAAACCTCACAGGTTTCCTAACCGTGTGAGCCATGAACACTTACCGCAGACCGATGTGGAGTCGGTTGGAAACGCAGGAGGCATAGCCGAAGGAATGCGCAGAAGTGAAGTTCGAGTTTCTTGGAACAACTTGGCACGTAGCAGGTTAGTTTGAAAAGTGAAAGGTTGTAACAAGTAATACGAAGAAGACTAAGCACTTAGGTGATGGTTTCCACACTTAGTGTCTCTTTCATATGATTCCCAGTGTATAAGCCAGGCACAAGCAGGATGACCGCCCAGGGGACACCCCCATCCCCCCATCCTGGAGGCCTTGCCTCACAGCAGTTCCTTCATCGGCCTCTGGGACAGACACACCCAGGAGCCACTTGCAGGACCTGTGTTGAGCCCCGTTGCTGGTGTGTCTTGAACCCTCCAGGGTCGGGAGGGCCCCAGGTGGGGACCTTGGCCAAGTCAGGATGCTCAGAACAGGAGGCAGGACCGCTGGGTAAGGAGGTGGTTACCCCACATCCTCGGGTTCCGTGCCTGTACTGGCCCCTCACGCTCGGTAAATGCTGGTTAACAGGCCAGGGGGCGGAGAGGGGAAGGGGCAACCGGGACCTCTCACCTGGTTCCCCAAACCATGTCCTCGCCTGACAAGGACCATCAAGGGCCTCCAAACACGCCAGAGACGAGCTCCCGTCCCGCTGAGCAGCCGGGAAACACTCGGGAATGCGCGTTCAGGGCAGCCCCTGGGGGACAGGCAGAGGCCCGGGGGCCGGAAAGCCCTCTGCTGACGGCAGCCGTGTGCCGGGCCGTCTGGCCAGTACTGCGGCCCGCGGGCACCACTTCCTCTCACCTACGGGCAGCCTTCCGCCCTGCCCTGCGAGGGTCGAGGTCCTGGCGGGGCTGCCTCAGACCCGCCTGCGTAGCCTGCGCTGCTGGCCCGTCCCTCGGACCCTGAAATTGCAGGCTCCGTTGATACAGGAACAGGAAGCACCTGAAATTTAAAGTATTTTTACTGACAGCTCTTTAAGATGACCAACCTTGAAAAACTTGATTTTACCACACGCAGGTGAAGCCTCAGATGTGCTTCCCTGTTTGAACTGAATCCAGCTTCTGAGGATGACCTTTCAGGGACCGCAGTAACCTGGCTGACAGGTGGTCTCATTTCACACCCCTGGGTCCCCTTTCCAGTTCTCCAGTGGCCGACCAAGTGACAGCTTCGTCATCAAGGTGAGTGGATATGGAGGGGGGTTTCAATCAGGGGGAGGAATAGGACACCTGTAATACTTTTAACAATTTTTTAAAAATGAAGTTTTTTAAACTCCCATATGGAGATGGGGTTCACCTGCGAAAAGTTGTTCATAGTGATGCTGGACCCTAAGGGGTCGTCTGTGACGGGCGGTGGGGGAGCAGCGTGTGTCTCAGCTAATCGAGCAGGAGCCCAAAGCTCAGCCAACTGCCAGCAGAACGCTTAGGTCCTGGAAAAGTTCAGGAATTTGGACCCCTTCTTGATGACCCGTCTGCATGATACGACTCGTTGACTTTGGCAGGGCGGGGGCACAGGTGGCATCAGGACTCCGTCACTGGATGGATACAGGGAGGCAGAACGAACCAGACACTATTGACAAGCCGTTTCTGGGTAAGTGGTTGTAATTGGTATTTTAAAACAAAGTGCACTGACTTCACGGTGCAGAAGTTAGTGTGCGGGTGAGGCGCTGCCGAGACTTGGGGTCAGGACTGTTAGAGCTGTGGGTCATCTTCGTGAGGTTCCCTTTTTGAAAAAGGGAGCGAGAGGAACATCGGTTTTTTGGTCCGCTTATTTGTTCATTGGTTGCTTGTGTGCCCCAACGCGGGATCGAACCCGCAACCCCAGCACACCCAGCCAGGGCTTCATAAGGTATGACCGTTAGAAAGCTTAGGGACCATAGGGGGCCACCTCCGGGCAGGTTGCCTTCCTCGTACAACTGTGTAACCTCCCTAAGCCGTTTGGGAACTTGGGAGACAGCTGTACTCGGGGACACTTGTTACACCCCTACTTCCGCGTCCTCCGTGGGGACAGGCTACAGCGGCGCGCTGCGAGAACGTTTCAACACGCGACACCCGGCTAGTCGGGCGCTGGCCTCTTTTCCCTTAGATTGTCCAAAAAATAGCAACAGCCAACACAATAGCCATCCCATGTGACTGAATCAAATTATAACCCTTTTTTTGGTCAGATTGGCAGAAAATACGTTTTTGGCGTGCCATCGGCTTTTAGTAATCAGCTTGAGAGCCATGGGACGGAAGAGGTCGAGAACTGCTGATCCGCAGCGGTGAGGGGTGGAAAGCACTCGTTACTCAGCTCCTCCGGATCTGTCTTTGGTAACCGGGTATTTGAATAACCTGTTTCCGTGGCTCCTCTCCCATAAAGTCTGAAGGTGACCAGCTCTGATGCAGACCGACCGTCGTCGTGTGGGACTTGGTGACCGGGGCCGCGTTCACCAAGAGGCACTTCCAGTAGGTGCCAGCAGCTCGCTGTGCGTGAAGCTGCTGCGCGCCACCTTCAGTCTGCCTTCGCGTCTGTGGTGCACGCAGTGAGCACCTCCCTGGACTCCAGGATCCACCACCCAGCTGTTTGCTCCTGGGGACGGGTTAGGCGCCGAGAGCAGTGGGAGAGCGGTGACTGCAGGGAGCGCCACGTCGGGGGTCCTGAGCAGGCCGCGTGTGTGAACAAATGAGCTGCGCTCCCGAGGCAGAGCAGGCCCAGGAGTTCTCCTAGGTGCCTCTGTGAGCAACAGCCAACTGTGTCACCCTCCTGGGTGGAGAGTGGGATAGTCAGTGGTTCGAAACTGAGCAGGGCAGAGCAGAACCTTCTGGTAACCGGCAGGAGACCGGTGTGTGAGGCCAGATCTTTTCGCTGCCAAAGCTAAATGGCAAATTAACTTTTAGGACTCGTGCTGCTAGGGTTCATGCATCGAGGCAACAGAAACCCGAGTCTTGTCTGTGTTTGCATAACTGGAAAAGGTGTTTTATTTTTTAAATATATATTGATTTCAGAGAGAGGAAAGGAGAGGGGGAGAGAATCACTGATCAAGCCCGCAACCCGGGCATGTGCCCTGACCGGGAATCGAACCCCGATCACCTGGATCCTACCTAGGTCGACGCTCAACCGCTGAGCCATGCCCAGCCGGGCAAGGTGAGTTTTAAATTGATTTTATCTAACTCTGGAAAATGCATTTTTATACACAGGCTGTATTGGTCAGTGTATCCGGGGAGGGTGCTGGAATGTGTCACTCTGCCTGAGAGGTTTCCTTGGAAACCAGTTTGGTTATAGCATCACCTTTCATGGGTAGGTAGGAATCTCCACCACACTGCTGTGTCTCTGTAGGACTGGGTCCAGACTAAAGGAACTTAGAGTAAGACAGGTTGAACCTGTCACCTCATGTGTGGAGAACACAGCTTACAGGTAACTCTCCAGGCCACCCGGCTGGGACGTGCTCGCCCCACCTCTCCTCCCAGTTTCAGGATGCAGATAGTGTCATGTCATTTCATCTTACGTGGATAATGAAGTGACACAGTAATATTTACATGTGTGGGGGGTGGACAAAGTAGGTTTATATAGTTGTAACAATGATGATGCGGGAATACGCTTTTCCGTGCTCAACTGTAAACCTACCTTAGCCCACCTCTGTCTAATACGTAAGCCCTACTAGGCAAGACCAGAGGTGCTGAATGTGAGTCTCCTTTTCAAAATCAGCTGACGCTCCATGATGGATGCCAACAGCAGGGAGAAGTTCAAGTATTCTTTATTCAAAGTTGAAAAATGTACCATACTGCATTATTGCAAAAACACTGGTACAAAACACTTTGCAGCTGGTGAGAAGGCATAAAAAGTTGACTTTTAAACTCATTACTATAAATTATTCTTACAGTACTTTGCAAATTCAGGATTTCAACCATTTTCTTTTTCTAAATTGCCCACAGTACTCGAGGTTCCTGAAGCTAAGGCAGCTGTTCCGGAGGAGGAGGGGAGGAGGTAGCAGACGTCAAGGGATCTCCATCTCTCGCTCGATGCCCACGTACTTCAGGGCGTCGGCCTGGCTGTATCTGAAACGGCAGGAGACAGGCATGACCGAGGCCCACCGAGGGGACAGCGAACACGACCACCCACTTACTTCAGTGGGTGCAGAGAAAGGCACACACATCCAGTGACACACTGCTGCGCCTCATTCAGAAGAGGGGGCCACCGCGTCTTCCCGCGCTGTCACACCTGCTTTGGATCGTACCTTCAAAGTGACAACACACGGGCCCTAGTTTATGACAACTCAGTACTCAAGACAGAGCTTCTGAATGGGGTGTACAGTCAGCCACAGTATTGAACTACACAGTCCTCTGACTGCATGTAGGTAAGTGTTCAATGGCTTGTGAGTTTATCCCACAGGGCCTGACAGTGTAACCACCACCAGGGGCCCCGTGTCCTCAGCTTCCTGACAGTGACAGGGTGACCAGGTAGGATATGGGCCAACAGTCCTCTACACTGAACAGTTTAAGACAAGCAGAGCACGCCCTTGAGGAAGGCATGCGCCGCAGCACTGACTGCAGCAGGGTGAAAAAATGGGGCTTCCTGCATTCTTTTTATTCAGTTTTTAAAATACCAGTGCTTGTATAATGGAAACCATACCCTAACTCCCCGCCAAGGCAAAGAATGACCCCAGACCCTTCAACAACACAAGACCCAGCAAAGAGCAGAAAGACAGCCTCTGTCCCGAGCCCAGAAAAGCCCTCAGGTCACACCAGAAAAGCACTGTTACCAACCTGTAATCAAAAAACAGCTCTTCGCCGGTTTGGATGGCTCTCTTCGCAAAGATCCCTATCCTGTGGTCGCCGTTCACCATCATGACTACAGAGAGACAGGCAGTGTCAGCAACGGAAGGGACTTGGTTACAGTAAGTCTTCCCAGGGCTGCACATCACTACCGTGGGGGGCCCGTCGTCAGACTGGGAATCCTGACTCCAGAAGCACTTACCTTTTGCATAGCAGTTTGGATTGACCGAATGATTTGCAAAACGAATTTTGTTACCCTTGCGGGTAGCATCCACCACAAAATCTAAGGAAAAAAATAAGCACAACGCAGTGAACAGTTTTTTAGATAAAGACTATGCTTCTGGAACTACAACTGGTTCTAGTTCAGGGGTTGCTTTCAAAAGCAAGTAAATCATTCAGCTGACTTCATTTGCAAGAAAACACTATTCTAAATAAAATTGCTAGTTCAGGATAGTTGTCTCTCAAATGCTGTTACCTAACTGCAAATATATGTATGCATTACTGAGCAAAACACTGCAAAAAATGGAATCTAAAGTTTTCCCAACGTCAAGAATAAGCATTTTGTATCTAAAATTAATCTTTATCCATCCTCGCTTCAGCCAAGGGCTATTGGAACATCTTAGGTACTAAGCACCTGCTTTTCATCACAGGCCCCCACGACAGGACTCCAGCCCCCTGTGGGAAAGCAGCATCCATCCGGGAAGTGCTAGAGAAGCTGCTGATTCGAGACCCCAGGATGTCCCACAGCCAGCGTCTACCGTGGCTCAGGTGGCCCAGACCACTTTCCTTGAACATGACCCGCTCTGCCACTGAGGTGCATGAGAAACACCAGCTCAGAATATGAATGAAGGGGCCCCAGGAGCAACCCAGAAACAGGGTGCCCTGACTCCTGAACATACCATTATTCAAATTGAAGAGAAAGCTGCACATGTATTTATCATACACTTTGCCTCTTCTGTCGGCTTCATCTTGAGAAATTATCTAAGAAGATGGACAGGGGATGAGACGGTGTTGGATCAGGTGACCAAACCACACACAAGCTCATCACGGGAATCAATGGGCTTTAAGGACTTAGACTCAGAACTATTTCCACAAAGTAATTACGCTTGGAGACAGTGATTAACAATTGTTTTTTACTTAATGAAAAACTGACCCCCAAGCTGAAGCTAGCCCCACTTCTAGGCCCTCATGAAGGAGGCTGTGGATTAAAAGGACAGACTCTTCCATCGCAAGCCTCTTGTTCCCAGCCCCCCGGTCTCCAGAAAGAAGCTAATAAATGTGACTGAAGCAGTCCAGTTACCAAGCAAAGCAAACCCACAAGCTAAGTCCAAGCCAAAATAGGCATTTTGTATTAATTCATTTCTAACCAGACCCACTGGACATGCCCAGTGATAATCCATCCGAAACAAAGTTGCTACATACCAGAAAGCTGGACTGCTCTAGCCTTACCTCTCCACAGTATTCTGAGATGAATTCATTTTTCTGGACAGGATCTTTGATGAAAATCCCCCAGCCAGCCACATCAGACGGTGCCAGCAATAAATGCTAGAGAACAAAGCAGTCAATCAAAGGAGAGCAAAGCGGGCTGCTGACAAGTGGACCACAGGGTGAACCGCTGCAAATCCTTAGGCCTACTCTGAAGAGCCTCTATTGAGAGGTAACTTCCCCACTTTTGCCAAAGGGGCTAACAAACTGCAAGAATAATGCTTTGGGTTTTATGTCAATAAGGTACAGAAACCTACCTCCAGAAAAAAATCAACTAACCATCCTTCAACAAGGTACCCACAGCAGTCGTCCTTGGACTTCCTGAATGACCCTTCAACGTGCACTTCATTCAAGGGCACCAAATCCCCCTCCCCACAGTGGCCTCTACCATCAGCTTCTCCACTTCCCATTCGGGACTCCTGGCTCCTTTATTCCTATGGCACCAAAGCTCAGCTATTCCACAGCAGCTCCTCACAACAGCACGGAGAACTGCCAGGAGGTGGTGTCACCATCTCAGCCCAGCATTCTGTTCTCAGCAGATGCCAAGATGACCCACACAGCCAATTCTCGTTAGAGTATGTCTGGGGACGAATCCCTCCCTTTCCACTGTGGTTCATTATTACCTTTCATCCCAGATTTCCTCATGTCCTTTAAAAAGGCCCCTGGTCACCCAAGTTCCCAATCTACTCCTATTCTAATCCAGCCTAGGCCCACTTGTCGGGAATTTCCCAAATACCACCCTGATCAGAAACTAAATTAGCTAAATAACATTGTTAAGCAAATGAAACCCAGTTGGTAAGAAAGTATCTACAGTTTGTCTTCAGAGTTAACAGAAGGTGTGTCACCATGAACAGCACTGCCCACTTTCTGAGCAAACTGAAGTTTATCGGGGGGGGGGATTTTTAGGGCCCATCATGGGGTGCTATGGGAAACTAGAGCATCACCGTGACAGAATGACCTCAATAGACATAAACTACCCAGAGAAAAACTGTCTAAACACTTTAAACCATCAGAGTAAAATAAACCACTGCCAGAAACACAACTCCTGGTAGGAGGGGGCAGGGCAGTAGTGTGGCCTCCATCACGTGACCCAAGGTGGAGATCACAGCGGAGCCTGGGGTTCCTGCTCCTTTCAAGTCCTTGAACTCTGTTTCCCAAGCTAGAAAATGGGGTTCATGAGGACTAATGAGTAATGCACAGGGCACTTAGCCCAGTGCCTGCTATATGTGAAATAATAAATGCCAGCTATTGTAATAAAAAGAAACACACCATCTACTCTAAAAAAATAAGACACTGACCTTTCCCAGCATATGTTAATTTCCTTTCTCACTCATGAGGTCATGGTTGCTAGAATTAAAAATCTCCTGTATGCAACTCCCAGTTATGTAAGTCCTGGCTGTGAGGTTTTCAAGGTTATTAAAAGAATGAAGTCTGCAAAAACTACTGTGGAGAATTTCATTCCTTGCTCTGCACAAAAGGAAAATGGCTACTATTTGAAAGAATGGGTCTCTATACTCGGAACTAGTCATTTACAAATGGTGTTCCTATTAACAAAACTTAAAAAGAAATTCACATCACCTGCTAACCTAGAAAACCACCTCTTACTCCTAACCTGATGCTGTAACAGCTGTTTCCTCCTACAATACAGAGGAGCAGGTGCCCAAGGAGACACCCAGGGTCTCCCATCAGCTGCACCTTCATTCAGCGGTCACTTTTTGTCCACAGTTAATGGAGACTGCTGGCCCGGCCCTGCCGTGTCGTGTCCCATGTCCCCTACCCCAGACCGCACCTTCTTGGAGCCCCGCTGGATGCTGCAGTTCTTGCAGGACACGTTCTTGCTGTCCCAGTGGTCAGCAGCTCCGCACGTCAGACACAGGTCAGGGTCGCACTCGCGGACGGCCAGGTAGCAGGGGCACTGCTTGGTGTTGCACTGCGCTTTGCAGCGGCATCCGGGAAAGCGGTTCTGACCTGTAGAGATAGTCACCATCATGTGGACTCATGGGAGTCTCAAGGCGGCCCCCCTTCCCACTACACAGATGAGAGACTTATGCATATCCGAGCTTCCTGTCCATTTCATTCAATAATTAGAATCACCACCCTTATGACAAGTTCATTTATTCTGAAGACTGAACCCACCCAACTGGCAGTTTCTGGTACCCAGAAAGTATCTGGGTAGCTATTTCTAGATTCCCCTTACGTTCTGTGCCAATGTTACTATGACTTAATTTAAACTACCAAAAAAGACAGCTCCTCTCATCCCAATTTGCCTACCCTGCCCGCGTTCCATGCACTGGCCAGGACACGCTGGACAGACAAAGGCTCCACCAGAGCCGCCTTGTTGTGTCGACTTCTGTTGCTATTTCAGAGGATGACCAAAGGCCCACTTAATTCTCATGCATCAAAGCAACAAATACTTACACTCTGAACTACACTGACAAAACTTTTCACAAAAATTCTGGGCTATCACACAAGGGCACGAACTGTCACAAGGCTGCCGAGGATGGTCACAGGGCTGGTAGTTGTAAACATGGTTGGAGGAGCCGTCTGCATCAGGACAACAGCGTGCAGGTCAATCAGGGGGGATGATTGTACACAAGGAACAAGAACACATTCTCCCCGTCACCTGACACATTCTGAAAGCACCCCCAGCCCCAAGCACTTGTCGCCCCCCATCACAGGTCCCCAGGGTGCTGCTCCTTTACCCACCAGTGACGCACCCTCACTGCACAAAAGGACTGACTGGCAATATAATCAACAGGCATCCTCCATTTAAATTGGCTTAATGCACAGAAGTCAATTATATCAAAATACCCTAAACTCTAGCCCAGTTACTACTGTAAAACAAATGACAAGCAGGCATTTTTAAGTTAATGAGGCCGAATGGAAGATGCAGACCTTTTTTCAGCTGTATCTTTCTGCAGTGTGCAGCCCACAACCTGCAAGACACAAAGAGGAAAACGGTCTTCTCGGGCAGCAAGGGAGAATGGTCAGCACAGATCCCCGGGAAGCTCCTTGAATGGGTCCATCTGAGCCATGAACAGCAGTGCCTTAAACCCGAGTAACCGGAAGGAGAGTCACACAGGACCCAAACCATGACCGAGGGCCCTGTTGTGTACTGAGAAGCCCTTTGCAAGGTCACCTTGACAGGTTCATTCTGATGTGGATAATACTGGTACATCTTAATCACTCAGTTGAGCTCCATGATCAGAAATAACCAAAAAATTCAGAAGTATCTACTAAAGTCTAAGTTCTGTGGGAAAACATCTAAGCTCATCTAAGTTCTAAATTAAAGAAATGGAAGAGCCTGTACACGTTTTGAAGTGTAATCTAGATGCTCCCCTACCCAACACCCAGCTCTGCTTCTCTGAAAAAATGGGGAGAAGGGATTAGAGCTAACAGCCAGCCACCATCTTTTGGCCCTGTACTTACAGGTCAAGCCACCTCCCACTCACCGCCACAGGTCTTGGGGAAAAGGAACAGTCAGAGGGCCTTAGATACTCTATCAACACACCACCACACACCTGGACGATTCCGGCTCCTCAAGTAAAAACCAGCTCAGAGCTCCCATCACACTCTAAGATTCGAGCTCAGGAAACATCTTAGAACAAATTAATTGTTCGTGTAGCCTTTACTGCAGGAGCTACTAGGTCTGTCTCAACCAAATGCAGCAAAGTGAGCGTAATTTTCACGACTCTTACACACCAAATCCACTGGCGCTGCTGTATCCTCACAGAACACCCACAGCTGCTTGTGGAAATAAGACTCCACAAGTCTGCGAAGCAGCTTAAGTTTTTTTCCTTTAATAGACCGAGGGGAGGCCGCCACCGCCCACCCTTTGACACCCCTGGCCGGCAGCATACCGGTGGCACCTCAGACACACCACAGGCAACTTACCGGTGTTTCCTCTTCTTCTTCCTTGGAGGGGTGTCAACATCCTCGGCGGGAACTGGAGCTATGATACTGGACTCTTTGACCCGAAACTCATACACCTGACAAGAGGCAGTCACAGCCATGAGGACACTGAGGTAACTGCACTTACAGTACTACACTGATTCATACCAGAGACTCTCTCTTCTGTGCTGCTAAGGTGCTGGGGACAAGAGAGAGCAAAGCAGACCTGGCCCAAGCCTCACAGAGGGACAGCAGCTGCAGTTATGTTCTGATAAGAGTCCCAAGGTTCAATCTAAATTCTCACTGGCTTTTTAAGTCCACTGTCACCTAACCTGAAATATCTAAAATCAGAATAATTTTCTCAGTTCCCTCGGCGGGAAAAAAGAAATGTACTTTTCAGAAGAGTACAATAACTGAGACTGTTACAGTACTTACATCTGGTCAAGGACTATATATTCCCCCCTCTCTGAAGGTCTATTACTCAATGTGCTTACCTGTCTACAGGTTTTGGTCCCGATTAACCTGGCAATGGCGCAGAAGTTGTCGTAGTAGGTGCCGATGAGGACCCGGAACATGGAGGCCTCAGCTCCGCTCCACTCCACATTCTCAGGGGGCTCACTGTTCGGCTTCATCTTTATTGGGGTTTGACACCGAGAATTCGCTTCTACAAACCAAAGTTAAGCACTGGTCAGGAAATGACAACTGCAGAACAGTGCATCAAGAAGTAAAACTCACCCAGCCAGCATGGCTCAGCAGTTGAGCATTGACCTATGAATGACCTATGACGATTGACCTATGGTTCGATTCGTGGTCAGGGCACATGCCCAGGTTGCAGGCAGCTGATGTTCCGCTCCCCATCAACGTTTCTCTCCCTATATCCCTCCCCTTCCCCTCTCTCAGGAAAACAATTTAAAAAACCTTTTAAAAAAGAAAAAAGTTCCTACCCCTGACACTTTGTGACCTCTTATCTTTTAAAAAAAAAAAAAAAAAAAAAAAAAAAAAAAAAAAAAAAAAAAAAAAAAAAAAAAAAAAAA